TTATGGGAATTAACAGCCGACTCTAGAGAGTTAGTTTTGAGTGCTAAGTCAACTTTAAACATATTTTTATAATTATTTTGAGTTTTTCAGTTGCATTTAATGTGTTCTACTTTGAAATGCAAAATTTTATATGGAAAAAAATGCTTTGTGGTTTAGGTAGACAGCCCCCAGGAGAGTATTTGAATAGAGTATTGTGTATTCGGTTGCACCCGACTATAAGATTGATACTAGTTGCTTTTATATTGCAATAAATATATGCGATTTTTATTTTTATGCATAAATCATAAGAAACACTTTCACGTGTTGTTATTTTTGTTAAAAATAAGTAAAAAAAAAAAAAAAAAAAACACAATGTTCAAATAAAATGGTTGACTGCAGCATTTCAATTAGTAAAATGAATTCATTTTCACACATTGCTAAATGCCGAAATGCACATGACTGCTCACATCTAGGGTAAACCATATTTCAGCATTTGATTTTCATATCGATTTCATGCTCGAATATTGCATACCCAGCACAACTTTGAAGGCAATACTAAATAATTTCGCTTAAAGCTAAAATTTACCCTTTGAAGCTTTACAATTTTGGAAATGGCTTTTGTACACTTACAATAAGATAAACAAACTACCAAGACTTGCAGCTAGGGGCCTCAATTTGGACTGTTTCGCACATGGCTGCGTGCTCGACACACAAAAAGGCTTCATATACAATTAAATGCTTGAAAAACATTTCGTTGGCACTCACAATTTGATGCAAAAAAGTATCCTATACACATATATGAATGCAGTGATTATGTAAGATAGTATAAGTAAGTATTTTTATACAATTTACCCAGGAAAATTGGTTAAAAGCATGCAAAATGTATGTGTAAACAAGGTATTTAGCAGGGTACATGTCGTTAAGCCTCCCTAGAAGTCGCACTGACACTGCATTTCTGTTGACATATCAATGGATACAGCTTGTTCTTCTCATTCTCATTCAGGATCATTATTCATATATTTAAGCGAACAATACCCATACACCATCTGTACCGGGCCGCAATGCAGCTTCAACTAAAACCCAGCTTCGATTGAAATCAGCTTCAACTGAAACCCAACTTCAACTAAGACCCAGCTACAGAAACATTAATCTTATAGTCAAGGGCAGGACTCGCTTGGGATATGCCTTATTGTATGGAAAACTTATCTGATGTATCTGAGGTATCTTGAGCAAATATCAGCCCAACTATTCCTGTTACCTGTTAGCAAGCCCGTATTATGTCGGGTTAGCGTTTGACTCCTATAGCAATAAAACCACGTCACAATCATTAGTTTATGGTAGAGTATGGGACGTTTCTTCTAAAATTCATGACCTTTTTACAGGAATAAAAATATTATCTAATTATTTCCTGAAAGCTGAAAGCTATAAGGTATGATAATATAATACGATATGATAATTCCAAACGGAAATAATTTTGTAATATTGGAATTTTGATAGCTAGCTATCATTGTTTATAATGCTAAAAGAGATTCTTTTGTGTTTTTTTATTTAAGTCTTTTCCATTTAAATGTATTTATATCTATATTTCTTATTAAACACAAATATAGAGTAAATAAAATACTTGTAGTTAATAAATACTACAACTTGAAGAGGCGTTCAATTATAGAAAACCCTTTTGACACTGTGTAAATATTTTCGCTGCACAAAAGAGCTTTATTTGAAACGTAAAATTGAAAAGAGCACCACAGAAACCACACACACTTCAAAAAATAGTACAGAAATTGTGTGCGAAATTAAAAAGAGCTCGATGTTGAAATAAATTGAGCAAAATACTGGCAGCTACTTAAGTGAAAATATTTTTTTGGCGCTTGTAATAACTTGACTGCTATTCCAGCATTATGTCCTCCGCCCGTTGGAGGATACGTACCGAAAAAAAAGAGCAATATGAAAAGGACTTAAGTGCAGTGAGTGCTGCGGCTTTGCCTGCAGATGCCCGTTCCGCGCTGCTCGAGAGTATCCTGGAATGGGCCTTGTCCTGGGCCTGTGCTACATTCATACGTTTTCGATTAAGCGGCTCCGGACTGGTTCGACTCTTGCAGCCAGCAAACACTCACCAAAAGGAAGCGGAAATTTACACAAAGACAGGATGTAGCAGAACTTGCAGTTGTAAGTGGCCGCCAAGCTGCAGCCGAAATGAGCCAAAATTGCAGCGGGCCAACACAGGCGTCGAAAGGCCAAACACGTGGCTGTTGCCTGTTCGCTGTTGGCGGTTGGCTATGGCGTGGTGGCATGGTGGCCTGTCTGACTGACAGGCCATTAATTTTGGATTACCCAAGCACAGTACAAGCACTGCCACCAATCCGCCGACTGGAGGCCCCCAAAAAATTCACAAGCTTGCCGGTTTGCCACTTAGTCGTGCTGTTAAGCATTTCATAATGCCCTCAACATGCCTGGCTTTTTTCCATTGCTTCTTGGCCAGGTCGTTAACGTTAATGACAACCTAAGTGGTCATATATAATTTCTGAAAATTATTTCTACCTGTGCAACAAAGTGGCACAAAACAGCCAACTGCGCTATTATTACAAGGATAATAAGCTGCAAGCCTGCGGCAAGGATAAGTGTGTAAATGCAAAATGCGTTCAGGTAGCTTCAAAGGTTTCATAACGTTCCGAAATTTCAAGTAAAATCCTTTCCCTCCCTTTACTATAAAAGGTAAAAAATGGTTTATTTCTATATAGTAAAATAATAATCAAATGCAATAAAACTTTTTGAACACATGCACTAAAGTCAACAAGAAACTAGAGTCAAGGTGGAAGCACTTCAAATGAAAATCATTTGCATTGAAAGCCGTTCTCAATGCACGAATAAACACTTGGTCAGACTTGAAAACTTTTGGTCAAAGTATTTTGGCTAAAAATGTGCTCAGAAAATGACTTCTTGGTGCTGCTTGGCATAATGCGACGAGTGGGTAAATATTTCAAATATTAGAAAACTAAATATAAATTGATTTTCATCAACAAAGTCAAGAGCTCAACCAACAAGCTGTATGCTTGCGGGAAAATATTTCTAGTCTCAAAAACAAAATTGAAAATACAAAATTATAAGAGAAATTTTTAAAAGTATTTCTGTTAAAAGGATACTGTTGATATTGATACATTAAGGCCTAGCAGTTGATATATAATTTAAAAAGAATTTGTGGTTAATTTGACAGAAAAATTAAAAACGACATTTACAAGATTGTCCTCTCCAAAATAAACCATATTTTTTTGGGACTTCGAAGCGTAGACGCCCCGTTGTCCAAACTACTTTTGCCTAATTTATCTTGTTCTCAGGCTGGCAGCAACAAATGCAGCCGCAATAGTTGAATTACTTCACATATAACCAGACACCCACACACACGCACACACACATACACACACACACCCCTTTATCTATGGCCAGGTGGCGTAAAGTGCTAGAAAGTGTAACTGGGTCGTTGGTAAGTAACTAAGTAGGCGAACTAAAAGCAAAAGCAAAAACAGCCGAGAAAAGTTTTTCACTCGATGTTACAGCATTTGGGGGGCCAACAAGATAAAATGGACACACCTTATGTGTTCTCCGTTTGGGGCCAAGTGTGAAATAAAGTGTAGGAAATTGCAGGTAGCTAGACGCCTACCAACTGCTGCCTACTTTTGGGCACACACCAACCTCAGCTCCATGGCCAACTCAGCAAAATGCCATAGCAATTTGTTAGCGGGTTTGGGAGAGCGTCGTGCAGATGTAATTTACTGGTTGCTCTTGCCTCATGCCGCCAAAAGAATGGACCCGGAATTTATTTGCGGCTATTTGGTAAAGTGAAAGCAAATTAAAGTCTTCACATACCGAGCAAATGCCATGACATACTTTAAGATCCAGCGATTTGTAGCGAAAGCAACTTCAGTGACTCGTAAAGTAGCTAATTCGGCATTTGATATAAAACATTTGCCATACATTACAACTAACCGCGACTGCGATTCGAAAATTATGTGTATACGAATGTATATCTATGTGTAAAACGCTGCCCCGGATCCTTATACTCAGCTGCGGTCGCATATACAAATGTATCTAAGGTCGCGAGTGCCAAAAATTTTTGTTGGCTTCTTCAAAATGTCGTGACGGCTCTTGTCCTGTTAGCAACAAGCAAGAAATTGTTGAGCCATGACTTTGGTCTTTACACTGAGAGAAATTTTTCGGTTAAAGCTTACTTGGATAATATATGATTGTGGAGAATTCCAATTAGATATGCAATAGATAGAAGACAGTTTTGGCTGTCCTTATTTATATTATTCCTTATTATTATTTAATATACACTGCACCTCATCCGGTTAGCACACCACGATATCATTTACGATTAACAACATTTCAAGTGAAACTTTTAGTTTGTGGCAGTGTTTGAGGTTTGCATTCTTTGCCGTCCCTGCCACACGCCCCGAACTCATGCCCCCAACCATTTGAATTCCAGGCCCATGACGCTTAGGAGCCAAAGCCCGACGCTTTCGCTTCATCATCAACTTTAGAAGTGCCGCAAATCTTTGCGGTTTCGTCTTAATGGCTAAGAAATTGTGATTTATGCCTCGACTTGTGTATATATATATTCAGTTCTTGACGTATGTGTATCTGGGTAAAGCCTGTTTGCGAGTGTGCTGGTGCGTGATTTACATGCTCGTTAGATGTTAGTAAAAGGGTATAAAAGCTATGTCTGCATATCCTTTGATCTGTATAAAAAAGGATTTTCAACTGGCGGCAACATTTTGAGCATACAGCAGCTTAAAGGCCGGCATCAATTACGTACTTTCGTTACGTAATTAGCAACAAATTTATTGGCATCCAAAGGTGCGACCGCCTCCTACTTTCCATCGACTACAATTTTGACTTTCTGTTGCCAACTTCAATTGTTTCTCTGTTGAATTAGTTTAATTAAATCCGAGAGATTGCGATTGAGAATGACATTTCCATTGATGCTCCAACAAACTTAATGAATAGTAAAAAATTGGCTTATTAAGTAATTAGATTATGTGTCAACACAAGCTCAGAAGCAAACAGCATATATTATTTGATCTCCTTTTAAACATTGTAATGTAATTAAAATAAGATCGAGTAAATATAATCTATTTACAATAAATAACGTGCGAAACTAAATTCTAGCTCAATCTTAAAAGTAAGCACATTATGAATCATCTATAAATCTAGATATAATCAAATACGCTTCATCAGCTATCTCAATCTGAAAGAAAAAAACGAAATAGAGTTTATAACTTCGTCTGATTCAAGTTTATACTTATATACACTCACTTGCTCCAGCGTTAGGCCTTCAAAGAATGGAATGCGCAACTGTAGTGGACCCTGTTCAATTGGATTTCTTATTTCTCTGAGAATCTTTAAAGCTTCTCTAAAGAACTGCAGATTAACGAATTGAGTGCCATAACGTAAATCTATGACTTTTAGCTTGAAGCAAAATTGGAAAATCCGCAAAAGGATTTGCGAAATTTCATCAGAGTTATGATATGATGTTATTTCAAGCACTTCTAGATTTTCGAAATATCGCAATTCTTGAAAGCATTCTTTGTCGATAAACCCACATTTTAGTCGTCGTAGGGATTTCACCTTTATTATTTCTTGAAACTCTTCTAGGTCTACATTATTATCTTGAATAACCAGGCTTTGTAAGATTGGCTTGGTTGGCTTTAGCGATATTCCTTTGAAGAGTTCAGTAAGTGATCCAACGTTTGGTGATGTTATTTGAAGATCAGTTAACATATTTAACTGCGCGAGACGTTTGATTTCTTCACCTTCAGACTCATCAAATTTAATGGTAAGGTCTTTAAGCTGTGGTAATTTAACTAAAAGTTCTATGCTTTTTATCTCAGCGAATTCACAATGCAAGCTTCGTAGGCTTTGAATTTGCACAATAGCCTCAGTGTCAATATATGATATGGGTGTACTTTTTACATTCAAGAGTTGAAGAGTTTTGGGTTCTGTAGCAGCAAACACATGAAAGAGTCGCGACATTGAGTCTCGTTCAAGATTCCTTATTATAAGTTCTTTCAATTGATTCAGTTGGGCCAGTAATTCAATATTTTTTCCATCGACGAATCCACATTCTAATCTCCTTAGGGACTTAACTCTTGCCACATGGGCAGTTTCTTCACAAGTAAGAGATTTGCCTTTTATGACTAAGCATTGAAGTTTCGACGATTCTCGTAAAACTAATGAGTGCAGGAACTGTATGAGGGAACCTTCTGGATAGGTTGTTATTTCAAGTTCCTCAAGGTCTGTTAGCAGCGACAAGAGCTCAAGGCTCTTCCCGTCTGAAAAGCCGCATTTTAGTTTCTTTAGGGTCAATATTTTGACTAATTCTTTTGATTCTTCATAATTAAATGTTTGTATTCGAAAATGTCCTAACACATCATTCCGTCTATTTACGCTTATCTCCCGAAGAGCTGAGCATTCTCTTGCAGCAAGTGCTTGGAAGAAATATTTGAATGAGCCTATTTTGTGCTCTCCTTTTATATGCAACGTGCCAAGATTTGGCAGTTCAGCTAGCACAACATACTCTTGGGCGTCGAAGACTTCACAAAAGTAGGAAATGTTTGAAATTGTAAGCTTACGGAGACTTTTATTAAACGTAATCTCTCGACACAAACAAAAAACAGATATTTCATTTGCCCCTCCCATAAAAACATTTAGAACACCTTCTGCTATATCACGCAGATCGTGCTCCGAATGTATTTTCAATACTTCAAGATTGGCTAAATGTCGCAAGAGTTTAATGCTTTCAAGATCGGAGAATTCGCATTCTAAATACCTTAAGGTTTTAATTTGAGAAATTTGCTTAACTTCATTATAATCAATGGGATCGATTTCAATACACAATTTCTGAAGAACCGTAGATCGTTTTGTGGCAAATGCTTTTATCAGTGGGGCTAGTGAGTTTAGCTTATATTTTCCATCTATTATTAGAATTGGTAATTTGGGCATATTTGATAGAGGTTCAAAATCTGCAGAACATGTACTTTCACGCATTGTTATGGTTAGTGCTCGCCCATTTTTATCCATACTTATGCAATTGTTTTCATAAAGTATACTAATATTCCCATTACATGATATGAACAGATTCAAAACTGCTTCCGAAACTTTGTTGAGCTGATGCTGTGAGTTTATCTTAAGTATTTCGAGATTATTCAGTGGTGTCAGATAATTAATGCTTTTCAAATCGATAAATCCGCAAGTCAGCCGAGCTAAAGATTGAATTCTTCCAATTTCAAAAATCTCATTGTGATCGAGTGGGAAACCCGAAATGGATAAAATTGTAAGTTTCGCGCATTCTTGTAATGCAAATGCTTGGAAAAGATTTGCCAAGGATCCGCCTCCGCATTTTTTTATGGATATTCTTTTAACTTTAGCCAATCGGGTTGGAAATTCAATAGCCCGATGATCATCGATTTGACAATCTAAAACATTTAGAGATTTTATTTTTAAGACCTCGATGATCTCTTCATTATTCAGGTAAGTAATTGGCTCCGAGAAAAAATTGAACTGAATATCTTCATCACTATCTCCATCTTCATCAAATTCCATATCTGACAAAGTTATCAACTGTTCAAGCTTCGGCGATTTTCGCTCAGCTATCCTCGTAAAGAGTTTTGCTAATGTACCGATCTTGTGCCTTCCAACAATGAGTAAGTTTGTTATATTTATTAAACTACCCAAATCAGCCAAATTGGCAGCGTCAAGTTCCTTTTTAAAGTATAAAGTTAGTTTTGCCAACCTTTGATCGAAACTTATTGAGTCAATTTTTATAACAAGGCCCTTATTTCCGTTGAACCTGCATTTTTGTAGTGTTTGTATTCTTAACACTTCGGCAATCTCATCATAATCGATGTTGGCTTTATCAATCTTAAGCTTTGTAAGATTTGTTTGTTCATTTTTAGCTAATGCATTGAAAAGCGTATTCAGGGAACCAACTTCGTGATTTCCTTCTATTCGCAGATCACATAATTTTGGCAATTTAGCTACCGGTGTATATTCAGAGTCGTCAAAGTCACTCTTCACTTTAAATGCGAGTGTCTCCAATTGATTGCAATACGGCATAATGTCAGTTAGCTTTCCATAAATATCATTACTCATTACCTCCAATCTTGTCAAGTTTGGATTGGATTCGCAGTACTCAACCAACTCCATAGCATCGACTCTTACATTTAATTGAAGGTGCTCAAGGTTACGGAACTGTTGCAAACTACTTATGGAATACCCTGGAAGTGCAAAAGATAGTTGTGTACCTATAATTTTGTAGTTAGCTTATACAAAACATACCTAACATATCAATTACCAATGACTTAATGTTACTGCAATTGTCTTGCAGTGCACGTATGAGCATGTCGAATATAGTACCATGCTCACTGTAATACATATCTTTAATATTATAAATCAATCTGACACCTTCTAAGTTGGTATTGAATCTAAGTGCATCCATGAACGTTTTCCAAAATGTATCTTTATCTTTCTGCTTTGAATGCTGCAGTAGCTTATAATGTTTGGCAAAATCAACGATGACATATGAAGATCTATTTAAATAAGTTTGCTCGATCTCGAGGCGTTCGTAAAAACGGGGGTCCCATACCCAAACAGCATCGCGAAACCATTCACAGGCAAGCGCAAAACTTACGAGATCTGCGTATGTAAATATATCCAATCTATCCCTTATTTTAGATGTTTCACAATTGATTCTAATCTGATCGAGTATTTTAAAAATACAATAGGTATTTAATTGCAAAATGTTTGATTTGGACATATTGTGCCTAAGTGTCAGTTGTGCGTAGCTAGTAGGATTTACTTTGAATTATTTGTTTAATATTTTATTGCATGCACTTAATTGCAGGCAAATTTATAAGCAATATATGAGCAAATTTAAAAATAAATTCTTATCAACAACGATATCACTGCATGACACATCAGAGCACGGTATACATATATATTTTGTACTTATTTCGCAGCACTGTCGCTTAGCGTGTTAAGCTGTTGCCGGTTTGATGAAAACTGAAAAAACACTTGGCGAATACATTCCATAAATATAGAGAAAGAGCTGGAGAGCAAGCGTTAAAGAGACACTGAGGGATTGGAATATATGATCACATATCATAATCATAACATAAACTGGAAAAACATTTTCTTATACCACAGACTGGTTTCTATTTTTTGTTTATGCGTTTTTTAAGACCACAAAAGAGTTAAGAGAGTTAAATGATACTCAATTTATATTTTCTGCACGTTAAATACTAATATGATAAGGCATTTTATACTCTTATTAGGTGAGGGCTTCGCTTCTTCAGCTCTGAGAGAGTCTGAGAGCGCGCTCCAGGTGATTTCATAAATATACTTTTATGCTGTTAGGCATATAAATTAAAGTATAGGAAAATGTTTTGGCAGATCCAAATAAATGCAATAAAAACAAATAAATTCCATACTGTGTAATGGTATAATTAATCTTAATTTAAATTTTCAATTCGCCTTGAACTTCCGCGGAGATCGGTCGTGTTTTCTGTGCATTCCCGTGCGTGTGTATGTTCAGTGCATCCCAGGCAAAAAACAAACCAAAAGTGACAGTGACACTAACTAAGCCCGCCCCAGGGCTTAACAAACAAATCGCGCCTGCAGAGCGCGAAAAAAAAACAATTGTGCTGCCTCTGGCAGCTAAACTATATATATATATAAACATATATAAACATTTAAATTTTTTTTTTACACAAAAGTGCAACCGCGTGCGAGCGTAAGAGAGCAAGCTTTTGCTAAGCTCAAACTGCGCTCAGCTGATCGCCTTAACTCAGCTGTAGTGTGTGTGAGTGCGTGTGAGTGAGCAGAGCTTTCGCGAGAGAGCTTTTGCCTAGACTCACTAACACAAGTAAAGCACTAGCCAATAGGAGAACAATCAGTGCTGGCAAGTCAGTCACTGACCGTGACAGTGCTGACACTTTCCAGTCACCGTTTTCGCTCCCCGTTCACCAAAGTCACTTTTCACAAAAATACTGGAGATTTTTGTAAATAAGTGCAGCTAGTAAATTTTGGTCAACATCTCACCTAATGGCGTCCAACAAGCCGAATCCACTCATCCCCGACTATCCTGCGTCACCTATATACAACCCGTCGGATAATGTGCTACCGCCATACATCTCGCTGTGCGGGGGTACTACGCTACTCACCACGTCGTGCATCACCACAACTGCCTGCTCCCTAGGAACGACTACGGTAACGTCGTCCCTCGCACATGGCATCAGCTCCCAAGGCCCCGCAATCCCGTCCATTCCTGGCGCGAATCCTGCTACAAGCCCGGATCTCCACGCGTTTTTGAATAATTACCCGCCCAAGACTTCACGTACTTGGCAAGGTCAATGGTTTAAGGCCACAAAAAGAGAAGGTGGCAATCTCTCCCCCCGTATCGCCCGTAAGAAGGCGAGCACCACCGAAACCAAGAAAGCCAGCCAAAACCGGTTTGCGGCCCTCTGTGACGAAGAGGAAAGCGACATGGACACGGAAGTAGAACTAGCCACCAACAAGGAAGCTTGCGCCGACGAGGATGTAGATGATAGGCCATCCACCTCGCACGCAGCTCGCGCAAGGGCCAGCAGGCAACAAACGGCAAATAAAAAGCTTGCCGCACACCCGCAACCCACCCAGACGGCGCCTCCCAATGAGCGGCCTGCCTCTAAGGTGCCGAGAATAACTGTGCCAAACGTCCTCAGTTTCACCAAGTTCTGCAAGGAACTAGACAGCGTCCTAGGCGCGGACACTTACACCGTCAGATCGCTTAATTCTGGCGACTGCATCGTCCAATGCCGCAACTCAGACGAATACCGAACGCTGGCAAGGCACCTTCGCGAGAACGGCTGCCTGTTTCACCACCACCAGCTTGCAGAAGACCGGCCGTACCGCATAGTTCTACGAAATATCCACCACGAGGTCGCATCCGAAGATATTTCAGCGCAATTGGCAGAAAAGGGGCACCACGTTGTCCGCATATATACCCCGCGTAGCAGAGTCAATAACGAACCTCTAAATATGAGATTTGTTGACCTGAGGAAAGCGGAGAACAATAACCTTGTCAAATCAATAACAGTACTATGCAGGCACAAAGTTTCGTGGGAGAAGCCTCGCAAGACGTCGGGCCCTGTACAATGCAACAGATGCCAAGAGTACGGGCACACAAAATCTTACTGCTCGAGACACTATGTGTGCAAGGAGTGTGGGGACAACCATCCAAGCAACGAGTGCACACTTGGCAAGGACGAGAATCGGTGTTGTCACCACTGTGGAGAAGCACACGCAGCAAACTTCAAAGGCTGCAAGAAGTACCTGCAATATGCTTTCCAGCAGAAAAACCAGCACAAGGCAAATGGCAGAGATGCAAGCCGCTCCAGAGATCCCCGCCCCAAAACAGCCGCTCCTGCCTGCAGCTTCGTGCCTGGCCAACAATCCTTTGCCAGCGTCCTCCGCGGTACCCAGCCCGCAGAGCGCAGTGCCCGCTCATCGTCTCGCAGAAGGAACACTGGCAGTACTCCCAGCCAATCGCAACCTGTTGCCGACAACTGCCCCAACTCAGCCCTTGAGCTCATGATGAAGCAAATGTTCGCCAGATTCGACCAACTGATGTCTCTCATACAGACTCTTTTACAAGCGCTAATGCACACTAGCGCCAAAAATAACAGTGCCTAAAATGAGCTCCCTCAGGATAGCACTATGGAACGCCAACGGAGTCTTTTCGAAGGCGAATGAGATCACAGCCTTCATCGAACTCCACCACATCGATGTGTTTCTGCTCACGGAGACTCACTTCTGCTCTCGAATCACCCTCAGAGTGCCAGGCTACACTCTCCACACCGCCAACCACCCAGATAACAGCCAACATGGAGGAGCAGCAATATTGATCAGGTCGTCCTTGTCGCACCACTCACTTGAGTCATCCTGCCACTGGCATATGCAAGCTGCTGCTATCCGACTCGGATCCAGCAGAGGCGACTTCAATCTCGCCTCTGTATACTGCCCTCCGGCCTTGAGAGTGACTGAGGCACACTTTCGAGCCCTTTTCGACCAGCTTGGCCCCAAATTCCTGGCAGGAGGAGACTGGAACGCCAAACATCGCTGGTGGGGAAACTACCGCATGTGCCCCCGAGGGAGAACGCTCTTCTCTGCCATTGAGAATGAAGGCATCGAAGTCATAGCCACTGGAGAGGCAACGTGCTACCCATATAGGGCTACTGCAACACCAAGTGCACTTGACTTCGGGCTCTACAAGGGATTCAGACAGGAACAGCTGCGAATACGAAGCCTCCTTGACCTGACGTCGGATCACCTCCCATTACTGATTGAGCTCGAGGAGACTCCCAAGTGGGAAGTTGGAATCCGCAAAATGCTCCCGCCGCGCTCTAACTTGGGAGTATACCGGGCCTGCCTCGAGGACACATTAGAGCTCAACGTCACCATAAATACGGCAAGTGAACTGGAGAGCTACGTTGACCACCTCACAGCGAAAATTACGGAAGCTGCTAGACGTGCAGCCCCGCAAACCCTGCCTCACTCTCGTACCTTCAGAAGGTCCCTACTAAGCCCTGAAGCCAGGAGTCTCCTTGCCGACAAAAGACGTCTAAGGAGGCTGTACATCCGCAACGGAGACCTCTCTACCAAGGCAGAAATGGTAAGCGCGTCCAACCGGCTCAGACGACTGCTGGCTAGGACTCGAACGGAAAATCTAGACAGCTTCCTCGAAACAACTGGGCATGACGGCAACAGCACCTTTTCAGTGTGGAAGCTCACCAGAAGCATTAAGAGGCAACCAGTTTTTACCTCCCCGATCACGGACCACTCTGGCCTCTGGCTCCGATCGGACGAGGAAAAGGCCAACGCGTTTGCTGACTACTTGGAGACAACCTTCAAGCCATTCGACTTCGCAGACGTTGCACAGCGCCGTAAAGTAGCCGAGTCACTGGACGCTCCACTGCAGATGGCTCTCCCGATAAGAAGCATCTCCCCCGCGGAAATCGGGACACAGCTGAAAATGCTTGAGCTAAAGAAGACCCCAGGATGCGACGAAATCGACAACAGAGCAGCTAAGGCTCTCCCACGCAAAGGAGTCATGGCGCTCGCCACAATTTTCAACTCCATGCTCCGCCTTGGCCACTTCCCGAAGCAATGGAAACATGCGAAAATTGTGATGATCGCCAAACCCGGTAAGCCGCTAACTCAACTTGAGTCCTACCGCCCTATAAGCCTTCTGCCGACGCTCTCAAAAGTCTTTGAGCGACTTCTGCTAAGCCGTCTCTTAGAACTCGACGAGGTCACGCGCCTGGTCCCGGATCATCAGTTTGGCTTCAGAAAGTCTCACGGCTGCCCCGAGCAGGTCCACCGGGCAGTAAAACACGTACTAGAAGCTTTTGAGCAGAAGCAATACTGCGTCGGCGTTTTCCTCGATGTCAAACAAGCGTTTGACAAGGTCTGGCACGATGGTCTTCTGTTCAAGATCAAACTGATACTCCCAGCGCCATACTTCAGCATCCTTAGCTCCTTTCTGGCAGGACGCACCTTTAAAGTGGCCGTTAAAGACCAAAGGTCGGCAATTAAGGGCATCAGAGCAGGTGTCCCACAAGGCAGCGTCCTCGGTCCGATGCTGTACACGCTGTATACGGCGGACCTGCCCACACAAGGACAAAGCAATGAAGACCTCAGCCCTGCGAGACTGCTGGTGGCAACATATGCGGACGACACTGCCTTCCTAGCCTCCCACAAAAATCTGCAAGCTGCTACAAGTGCAGTGCAGGACTGGCTGCTGCAGATCGAAACCTGGACAGCTATGTGGAACATCGCTATAAACTGTGCCAAGTCCGCCTGCGTCACTTTTACGCTGCGCCCATACAGCTGCCAGGGGCTACGGTTCGATGGACGAACCATTGAGCAGACCAACTCTTTCTGCTACTTGGGTGTCCACCTGGATCGAAGGCTCATATGGGGGCCTCACATCGCAGCAACGAGAGC